GAATCTTGCTTGCATGTGATATCAAGGATATTGTTCAATAATTTCCACACTTTGTTGGGTCACCTTTCTTTGTAATGGAAACAAATATCTTTTCCAGTCAGTTGGCCAGCTGGCTGTCCTCCAGATTTCCTGGCACAACTTAGTGAGCACATCCAGGGCAGTGTCTGTTTGTTGAAATAAATCAATTGGTATGCTGTCAACTACCGGAGCATAGATTTTTTCCAATTCCTTCAGAGCAACTTGAACTTCCTCCTTCATCACCATAGGCTCTTGCTCAAATGTTATTTCATGAAATTCCTCAGTGTCAGCCAATTCCTTCTGATACAGTGACTCTGTGTACTCCTTCCATCTTCTTTTGATACTTCCTGGATCATTCAACATTCTACCCAAACTATTTTTAGGTATTGCCACCTGTGGCTTGAATTTGTTTTTCAGCTTAAGAAACCCTGGGTTTGTCCAGCCCTTTTGATTTTCTGACTCCATCTCTCTGCAGATTTCATTATAGTATCTTGTTTTGTCTTCGTGAGCTGCCTTTTGAAATTTTCTGTTTAGCTCTTTGATTTCTTGGTTTCTTCCTTTAGCTTTGGCTTCTCAGCACTCTAATGCAACACTCAGAGTCTCATCTGACATCCATCTTGGTCTTTTCTTCTTCTTCAGCCTTTGTAATGATCTTTTGCATTCTTCATGGACGATTTTCTTGATATCCTCCCAGAGATCATTTGGTCTATGCTCATTGGTGCTCAAGGCCTCAAACCTGTTCCTGAGATGATTTTGAAATTTGAGTGGGACAGACTTAAGGTCAAATCTTGGTTCTCTTGGACTTGATTTAATTTTTCTCAACATTAAAGAACAAATATGATATTAATTAGAAACTAGTAAATCTGTGTTAAATGAAACAATCAGCACATAATAAGATATTATTCTTTATCTGAGTAAAAACAGATCACCACTCAAATTACTAAAGTCAGTTCTAGAGTAAAATTAAGGAGTTAAAGTAATATTTTTTTCCTCTGAAAAATGTCATATAAAACTTAACATTATTTTTTAATTTCTTTCACAGGTGGTACCATAAAAACATTACCAGGAACCAGGCAGAATGGCTATTAAGACAAGAGGTAACTAACCCAATTCATTCAAGAAAAACTATGAATACATTAAAAGTTTCTGAAAGAGCTGCTAAGTATACAGATTTTTAACAAATTAAGAATGTTTGTTACTTTCTGTTCACTTTAGTTCAAAAATAGCAATACAAATTCATATGAGTTATGTATTTTCTTTAAAAAAAGCCCTGTATGTAAATCAGCTGTATTTGTATCAAATCAGTTTTTCCATTGACTTCCATGATACTTTCAGTAACGTGTTTCATCTGACCATATTTCAACTCTAAACCGTTGAGTCGCCTTTAATTGTTTGAAAGAGTTCTTTTTGAATAAGTACTGTATTTACTCTCCACATAGTATTTGCAAGAAAAGTGGCCTCGTGCATATTCTATCCTTCCGAGCATAGATTGTCGTTGTTGTTAGGTGCCAAGTCTCTGGCTCATAGGGACCCTATAAACAAAAGATCTGAAACCTGCTCTATGCTCTATTGTCTTTGTTCTTTTAGGAACAAAGGGAAGAATCACGTAGTCAAAATATCAAACTCAGATCAAAACTTCTCATGTAGGTCAAAACAAAACTGCATATGATGCAAGTTTCCAGCTGACGGTAAATAGTAACTCTGGGTAAATTTAGAGTCAGAACTGGAAATTAGGTAAGTTATATCTGTCAGATATTGAGGAAATGCAAAAATGTGAACGATTTGTTTCATAACTAAAACCCCAATGCCAGGAATGACTCAGGACACATGGATAACCCTAACAATAGCAGGAGTAAAGAGTTAGAATTAGGGTTGTGGTTGTTTTGTGCTGTCAAATTGAAATCAACTCATAGTGGATCCTCCAGTGAGTTTTTGGAGGCAGTAAACTGCAGAGAGGATTGCCCATCCTACTCCTGCAGAGCAGCTGGTGGATTTCAATGGTGTGTCTTTGGGATTGCAAGAGTCTGATGGCTTTGTGTTGTTGTTATGTGTCATTAAGTCACCTGTGACTCATGACAACCGTATGTACAACAGCTCTGATCCCTGCCCTGCACTGAGCCAGTCTCAGTGACTCTGACAATTGCCCAAGTTACTGCTATCAATCCATTTCTTCTGGGGTCTTCCTCTCCTGCACTGTCCCTCCACCCTCCTTAGCCTGATATCCTTCTGTAAGGACCTGTCCCTCCTGGCCACAAGCTCAAAGTATGTGAGACAGAGCTTCAAAATCCTAGCCTTCAATGAGAAACTTGGTTGTACCCTCTCCAATACAGACCAATTTGTTTTCTTGGAAGTCCATGGTATATTCAAGATCCTTCTACAACCTCACAATTCAAAATCATTAATTCTTATGTTTTCTTTAGTCATTGTCCAACTCTCTGATGCATAGCATGTAATTGTGAAGACCATGGCCTGGATTAGGTGCACCTTAGTCTCTAGACTGACATCATTGCTTTTAAGTACTCTTGAGAGATCCCTGATAGCCGATCTTCCCAGTGCAATTTGCTGTTTGATTTTCGGATTGCTGGTGTTAAGATTGTCAATTGTGGACCTGAGTAAGATGTAATTGTTAACAACTTCAATCTCATCTTCATCTATTATGGTGCTACCTATTGTCCCAGTGGTGAGAATCTTTGTTTTCTTGATGTTGAGCTTCAATTCATATTGAAGACTACAGTCTTGGACCTTCTGCAGCAAATGTTTCAGGTTCTCCTCAGTTTCAGCAAGCAAGGTTGTGTCATATGCATAACATAGGTTGTTAATGATTTTTCCTCCAATCTTGGTGTCACATTTCTCCTCATAAAGCCCAGCCTCCCGAATGATCTGTTCTGCATATAAATTTAAAAGGTATGAAGATACGATGCATTCCTGATGCACTCCTTTCCTGATTTTGAACCATGCAGTGTTTCCTTGCTCTGTTCTGAGGATGGCTTAATTGTCCGAGTATAGGTTTTGCATAAGCACGATAAAGTGTTCTGAGATTTCCATTCTCCTCAAAGTTAGCCACAATTTGTTGTGACCCACACAGTCAAATGCCTTTGTATCGTCAATGAAACACAGAAATTTCTCTGCTATTCTTTGCTTTTAACAAGATCAAGCTAACATTGGTGATAACGTCTGTATTGCCACGAGTTCTCCTAAACCCAGAGTGTATATCTGGTAGTTCTTTGTTGATGTACTCTTCCAGTCATTTTTTTATAATCTTCAGGAGGATTTTGCTTGCATGCAATATTAGTGATATTGTTCAGAAAATGTATTGCGATGGGAAAGTCTGCTGTTAGGGACCTCTCCAGGGTACTGAAGAGCAATGCTGTCGCTCTGGAGACTAAGGTGTGTCTGATACACTCTATGGTCTTTGCAATTGAAGGACCCCCAAACCGCTGGTCCTGTTCTGTCCCGAGTGGACGGCGAAGACCCAAGACTCCAAGACACTGGCTTGATGCAACAGCAAGAGATAAGAGGTTTATTGCGGAGCTC